GTGCCGTCGTCTGTAATGTCCATTCGAATGCGTAAACATTGCGAGTAACGTGCGCCGTGGCGTCGTATGACGTGGCAAGTGGCATGCCGCTTGGTAGGGCATCCTGGCTTCTAAATTAAGATTTTTAGCTTGAGGCATGCTTATCTTCTAATCTATTATGAACTTTAATATTATCTTCATCATTGAGTATAAGATGAGCACGCTCAAGCTGTAATTTTCAATTCAGAAACCGGGCTTTTATGTAATGAAGCTTATTATACGGAAGAGATGAATCAAGACTTGTGATGCAAGTTAGTGTTCAAAATTCAGTACGTAAACCGTTACGTGAAGACTTTGAGCTACGTGGCATGTTACATCACGTGCCATGTCATACGCCACGTCACATATAGGACTCTGTGAGCGTTATTTTTTACAATTAAAATTCAAATTAAAACACGATTATAAGCGAATTTAAATTTTAAATTAAAAAATATGTCAACTGGACTTTTAAGAATAACAGCATTATTTTTTTAGTTGTCAGACAAACAGCTTTAAAAAAACGCTTAATTTCTATGGCCTCTCTTAAAGTGTCTACTCTAATAATGGACCATTCTGTACGTCCAATATAATTTGTTAAGCTAGGTTTAGACTAAAAAAATTGCCTGAAGTTGACTTCCGCAAGCTGTCACCACTGTGTAAATCTTACAGAAGTTGGCTTGCCACAGCTATTTACACAACTAGCGGAAGACAACTTCTGCAAGTTTTATTGCTAGTCTAAACCTCGCTTTAGAATCGTTTTCGAATTTAAAGTCAGTGTCAAAAATATCATAACAGTAGAAGTGCTGAAATATTCTTTATACTTTCAAACAAAGTTACCATACTGCGCTAAAAACTGTGCGGATATTTTTGATACTGTACAAAATTGCAATGTTTGGTGAAAAATATGTTAGTTTGTTTATTTATTATAATTTATATGGTAAGCGAGTTAAAACTTGACTAATTTTGATCTTTGTTTTCTTGGGATAAAGTAGCAAAACTGAAAACTGGGAAATATTTGGTCGAATAACTTGTTGCCAAGTGTACATTGTTTTAATAGTTTTAGAGCTTAACCAAAAAAAAACTAAAGCCGCCCAAAGTAAAATGTATTCTGTGAGAACCGGAACGTTTTTTTATAATTTTCGGCGCATGAAAAAAACGTTTTTATTAGTGTTTAGGTGATAATTTTAAAGGTTTCAATTTTAGCGTTTAATTGGTGAAACGAAACGTAATTTAAGGTGTAGTAGCGATCGCTACGATAATGTGAATGAAGGTTTAAAATGTATGCTTTTCTGAAATATGACACAAACGTTTGAAACTCAATGATGTTTGCTTTCAACCCTTAAAAATCTGCGTTTACTGAGTTTACTGCGCACCTGGCGGCCGTGACGTCACCTCGACGCTCTGAGCCCCGATTACGGTAATTTTTAACGTCAACAATCCAGACACGCTTCTCGATTCTGCGATACGATTGGTCGTTCAACAGCGTACGTCAGCTGTTTTGACCAATCGTATCGCAGAATCAGAAACGCGTCTGGATTGTAGACGTTATAAAAGTTACCGTAATCGGGGCTCTGGTACGGACGGGGCGAATGCTGGGAGGTGTGCGGGAGAGTGCGAGGGATAGTCGCATTCCAGCGAGGTGCGCAGTTAGCTTAACCGGGTTATGAATACAGTAAGGGCTATATTTCACCGGGAAACCATGGCGGCGCAACCAGTCGCCGGCTACCAACAAAATGTATACAGCTCTATAGAGAGTTACTCACCTGGTGTCCGCTTTGGTTGCGCAAAGTATACATTTTTTTGGTAGCGGCGACTGGTTGCGCCGCCGTGGTGTCCCGGTGAAATATAGCCCAAAGATGACAGAGTATTTAGTTAGATGTGCCGGCATCCGTAAAAAATATAGGGTGTACATCCACTGAAGTGAATCTGAGTGGTCTTGTCATAATACATTATTATGTCAAATATTTGACACTGTTCAACTCCGTATTAATTGGAAACAGCCTTATGAAGTTAGTTTTTAAACGTAAGGCGTTGTCAATTTACCTTTCTTACAATAAAATACAATTTACTACTGAGAACAAAAATTGGCGTCCACTTTGGTATCGTATTAGAAAAATGCTATAATTAAAGCTGCTAAGAAAAGAGGATCAAATTGTAAGTTAAATGTGTGAGAATAAGTGAGTGTTCATACGACACATTTGAGATGCTGATCATTATGAATTATGTTGCCAGGTTCAGTGTATTATTTTTCGGGACATACTATATCTGCAAAAATCGGGACAGTTGATACACGGTAATACTATCTATACAGTATTCCAACTCGGCCATATTTTTGAAATAAATGTCAACAGCCCCGCGGTACGTCACGGTATGACAACATGCGATAGGGCTGCTCACCTACAGTACCCATTCTAATTACATCTGTCTACTTAGAATTTCTATCTAGTTTTGTGATTGTAATTTTTTTTTATTTAGACAAACAAAATACTTTGTGAATGGAATTTAATAAAAATGCGTGTTTGAAAATTATAAATAACTTGAAAAAATCGAACTGCCTAAGGCGGGAATTGAACCCACGACGACGACGGGTTCATCCAGTGTCTAAGTAGCTCAGTTGGAAGAGCAGTCGCCCGGCAAGCGGAAGGTCGTGGGTTCAATTCCCGCCTTAGGCAGTTCGATTTTTTCAAGTTATTTATAATTTTCAAATTAGTTTGAGATGCGACTCTTAACGCTAAAAATTAAATAACTATATAAAAATGCGTGTTGTTTTGTGATTAGTAGATTTAATTTTAAAAAATATACTAAAATAATTTTGAATCTACTAATCATAATGAGGTCATTAAGACCTGTTACTAGAATTTCAGGCGGGTGAAATCGTTGGCAAAAGCTTGTTTTATACAATATACAATTTTCATTTCAAATCAAACTGACTGAAAATGACCATTTCTGACAGTTAATGACTAGTTTTTGTCAAATTTGACCGTAAATGACTGTCAGTCAAATTCAATCACCCAACTCATTTTCGACATTATGCCATCGACGTCCGTTCGGCACATTCGCGACACCCCTAATTTTTTCATCTCAACCACGTCCCGAGATTTGAAATTCGAAGGAAAGCTCGCGTTTCGTCGGTTTATATGAAGTTACAATACTGTATGATATTATTACCGTGGTTGATATTACTTTTTCGCAGAGATTCCGAAAAATATGATTTAAATTGGACCCCATAATCGGGTCGTCCCGCTAAAATTGGGACTCCTGGCAACACTCACAGCATACATCGCTAATTTTGATTGAAAATCTTCATCGTAACAATAAAATCATTTTAATACGACTCAGTTTCGTTAGGTTTTAGTTTTAGGATTTAATTACATTATACAAGATTTATTTCATGCATTCATTGTTGGATGAAAGGTAACAAATATGTGTTTATTTGCATGGTTTAGTTTTGTTGTGTGTTTGATAGTCCCTCACTGGAAGCATTTTGTGTTCGTCTAGTGTCTTATTATAGGGTACATAAGATGTTACACAAGATAGTTCCAGAGTGTGAACACCTTTTGTTTTTGTTTTATGTATTTTTTAACGAAGCTATTTTTTGACATTCTGTTGGATTTTATGTAAGATGATTTTTGCTTATACAAGGTGGCCAAAACAGTGAGGTCTAAAAGAAAAATTTAGATTCCTTACATCAAGGTGTACCTAAATCACCCCCATGTATGTAATACGATTGTGCTTAGTTTAGGAGATTGAGTTAATTTTGTGATATTTTAAAATTTTATGACCTAGTAGGCTTTAAACATTTTTATCTTTTTTTTGGGTTGACTTTTTTCAGATTTCTTTTTTTCGACAGATTTGTTATTAATTGCAGATGTTTGAAAAAAATAATCACCTTCCTATCTTTGATTCAAGATACAAAAGTTTTGCTAGAAACATTAAAATTATGCTTTTATCAGAACACTATCAAATTTTCAACTTGAAAGTTTAAGTAAAAAAAAAGAACTTCCATAGGTCCAAAACCATTTTAAAAACTGCGCCGTTTCCTGCACTTTCATAATAATACAAAAGAACATGTACTTAATGGGCCACTATTTCCTGTAATCGGTCCACTAAAGTGGTAAGTCGGAGATTCCGTTACATGTTTTTGACTTTCTTAGAGTGAATTAATATTGGGAATCCTCTAAGTTTACATTACGTAGAACAGATTTAGAGCAGTAACTGGACAGAACATGTATTTATTGTCAACGAGGAAGCTCTTGCCCTTCATCACACCTGGTGGAAACTGATGATTAGGCTGAAGGTGGAAGGGAACTTCAACTACAGAGGAACTATGTCTACCTACCTTCCTAACTAGGTCACAAAATTTTAAAATATCACAAAATTAACTCTATCTCCTAAACTAAGCATAATCGTATTACATACATGGGGGTGATTTAGGTACACCTTGATGTAAGGAATCTAAATTTTTCTTTTAGACCTCACTGTTTTGGCCACCCTGTATTTTCGAATATTTTTTGGTATCATTTATGGCATATTATCATCCTACAAAAAATGACGAATTCTCTCAAGTCATTTAAAATCTTATTCATAAAGACAACGCTCAATATTATTGGGGAAAATTCGACATTTTGTAGCGGGTTGATTTATTGACTTATAAGTTTTAATTATTATTGTTATGTCAAAATACAATAAAGAAACTAAAAATAAATAAAGAAACCATTCTGTGTGCTTACCACGAGCTTACGTTAGGTGTGCTCGCTAACGACTGCGTAAAAAATGACATTAAATGTATGACAAATTATACAGTGCCACTAGCGGCCACTTTCAAGAATTAAAATCTTAATTTTTTTTTGACGCACTCGCTAGAGAGCATAGGTATCTATCGTAAACTCATGGTAATCAAATCACACTGATTCTTTCCTTTGCCACACATTCATTTTTTATTATACGATTGACTGAATATTAATTTTTATTTTTATTTACAGGACTCCTTCGTTACAAAGTAGACTTCCAGTCCATGCAGTTGGACGATGAAGAGATCGACAACCTGTACGACATCGACGACTACTAAGCCGTCGGGGAGCGGACGCGCCCGTCCGGTAGCCGGACATCACCCGGACACTGTCCGGACAAAAACCGGACTGTCCGGAAATCTTGGACACTGTCCGGACACCAACAGGAACACCATCTCAATAGTCTGGCGGCCGAACTGGACGTTTCATTTCCCGGACACTGTCCGGTCGGACGGACGCCATATGTCGTGTTTTGTACCGTGTCGGGTGGGGTGAGACGGGCTCTGTTTTTGTACTCAGTATTATTTAGTTTTTATACGTCACTGAGCATTAGTTATCAGAAATTGTTTAAATATTTTATTTTTCCACTTCTTACCATTCTAAAATCTATTTGATAGAGTCAGAAATTTAAAAAAACTGTAATAAAAGAGTGTTGTAGATTTTATATTTAAATTTTATGCCACTATGTTATTTTTAGAAGTCATTGTTACTTTTAATTCCAAAATTGGGGATGGTGATTCTTCTTAAAAAGGTCGATTTATTCTAAAACTCGATTCACGAAATATTTTTATTATTTACTAGCTGACTCGGCGAACTTCGTACAGCCTATGTTCATCAGAAATTATTAAGGATTGTATTTGTGAAAGAATTTTTCAAATCGGTCCTTTCGCAGCCTATACACAAACAATCAAATCTTTCCTCTTTATTAATATTAGTGTAGAAAATCGATAAAATCGTTCTTAGATCGCCACCCTGGTTTTCATTTCAAGTCTCTCTATGTACACTTGCCATTAAATTAATTGTAAAATTAAATTTTAAATTTTACTAAAAATTTTGAATTTTCTGTAAGCCCGTCTCACCCCACCTTGTTTAGTTAAAAATAAAAGACTGCAAAAGCTTATTCTGGGTTGCATCATCTTACATAAAGGCTGGGTTGCACCATCTTGCTTTAACTTTGACAAACGTCAAAAATCTGTTAAACTCCATACAAAAAGCACCGGTTATTGTTACGGTTAAAATAAGGTGGTGGTGCAACTCAACCTAACTATAACAAATTTCAAACTCCATACAAAAACACCGGTTAAAGTTACAGTTACGGTTAATGTTAAGGTGGTGTGACTTAGCCTTACTCTCTTCTTGCTATTGAAATGTCTACACACTGACAATCACTGATACAGAATCGCATTTACATGGACTGTTTTGTATACAGCGACTGGTGGGTATATTTCACAATATACTATGTTACAAAAGATAAATGAATTTTATTGTATCATAATATTGGTATAGTATGAACGTATGTTGCGCGAATTCGAATATTTCACGTATATTGATGAATGTGTTTAAACTTTAAAGTTTCAAAGTATGATGAATAAAGGTGTGTTCACATTGGAGCGGGGCGTTCCCGGGCTCTACACGTTCGGTCTACGCCCCGCATACGCCCCGCGCCAATGTGAACATACCTTAATATTGCCCAATACATGTACACTTGACGGATGCATATACCGTAGTGTTATTTCTCTTTCTGTTATAATATTTATGTATTTTTTAATCTAAATACGCACACTATTTATTCATCTGTTATTCACTTAATATTCACTGTACACTTGATATTTATAATGAGCACTTGTAACTCTAGATTCACACGTAGAATTTTTAAAATTTCGAAGATAGCTACAGTGAAATTTTAAGGTGAGACCAGACTTGTGTAATGTAATGTAATTTAACGCGAATTCTGAGCGTAGATGGCGCTGATATCGCTCGTTGAACCTAAAATCTGTGAACGTCAGAATGGCGGGTGTATGATCATAGAAATTAACAAAATAAATACGATTAATTAATACCTGAGGTGTACCTTGGTGTACCTTTAGTTATTTATTTTGTACTTCTCTAAGATGGGAGCAATTACGATTGCAAAATGAGCCGCCAACCTGATATCAGGTTTGCGGGCGTATGCTGAAATTGGACGAAACAGGTAAGTTATGGTTTTCTAATATTTATCATTATTTAGTACCTGAGATGTACCTCACAAATAATGAATATGAACCAAATGCGACGAATAATTAAGGAGAAAATCGATACGAAAAATTTGATGTCCACCTTTTTTTTGATGGCCACCATTTTTATAAGAAGTTAGAAAGTGGATACCGACACAGATAATACATACCGTAGTATTTTTAAAGTCTGTTTTTATGGCATGCACACTTTTGCATTTGCCAACGCCATTAATTTGCTAAAATCAAAAAGTTAGTATTGATAGTGTAGCGCCCTCCTGTAAATGTCATAAATAAGGTTGTCCAACGTGGCAGCAATCGGAACTAATAATCGAGACATCGTCTTCCTCTTCTTCAAATTTTATTCTCTTCTTTTTTTCCTCTCCTGTCCTTCTTCTCTTTCTCTGATTTGTAAAATAAGAAGAAATAAGACGAAAAAATAATAAGATGAGAAAAGAATAAAAAGATATAAGGCAAAAAAATAAAAAGATAATAATAAGAAGAAGAACGTGAGAAGATGAAGAGTCAAAAAAGAAGAGGAAGAAACAGAAGAAGATGAGAAGAAGAATAGAAGATGAAGAAGAAGAGATGAAAAGAAGAAAAAAATAATATTAGAAGAAGAAGACTATGTCCCGATTACTAGTTCCGATTGTTGGCACGTTGGACAACCTTATTTATGACATTTACAGGAGGGCGCTACTATCAATACTAACTTTTTGATTTTAGCAAATTAATGGCATTGGCAAATGCAAAAGTGTGCGTGCCATAAAAAACAGACTTAAAAAATACTACGGTATGTATTATCTGTGTCAGTATCAACTTTCTAACTTGTTATAAGAAATGGTGGCCATCAAAAAAATGGTGGACATCAAATTTTTCGTATCCATTTTCTCGGTAATTATTCGTCGCATTTGGTTTATAATAATATATTTGTGAGGTACATCTGAGGTACTAAATAATGATAAATATAAGAAAACCATAACTTACCTGTTTCGTCCAATTTCAGCATACACCCGCCAACCTGATATCAGGTTGGCGGCTCATTTTGTAATTGTAATTGTTCCCGTTTTAGGGAGGTACAAAATTAATAACTAAAGGTACACCAAGGTACATCTCAGGTATTAAAAATTTATATTTATATTATTCAATTCTGTGACCATACACCCGCCATTCTGACGTTCACTAAAATCTGGTTTAAAAAACACATTTTTCGGTGAACGAATGATATGATATACTGGCTTTTCCCGGGGTTTCGTCTACGTAGATTCAGACAAAAATAGCCTGTGCTATTCTGAATAACATTGTAAAGTTTCATCAAAATCCATCCAGTACTTTTTGCGTGCAGTAATAACATAAACGCATGAATTTTCGTTAATACATTTTGACCCGGCGAAATTCATACCGCTTATGTTTAGCAGAAATAATTAAGATTCTTATGGTAAAAGATTTTATCAAATCGGTCCAGTAGTTTCGAAGCTTATTCAATGCAAACAAACAAATCTTTCCTATTTATCATTAGTGAATTACTGTAGATTACGTAACACAAGTGTGGGCCTGCCTTTAAATGCTTTCTTTATACATTGTGTACTTATTCATATGAACAAATGTAACTACATTCTCTTAGAAAAAATATATTGAATATTCCAGTAAAATCTACTATATTATGAATTCTCTCGCAGCTAGAATCAAAATTTATGATAAATGTTAATTATTATATAAAACACGGTACGAAACATTTCGACATTAGTTGTGTGCATTAGTTTATGTTTTAATGTGTCTGCTTATTGTATTTATTTATTCTAAACTAGCGACCCGCCCCTGCTTCGTACAGATGCAATGTATTATACTTAAAACCCTCCTCTAAAATGACTATCTATTAAAAAAACCGCATCAAAATCCGTAGCGTAGTTTTAAAGGGACAGACCGACAAAAAACCGACTTTGTTTTATAATATTACTAGCTGACCCGGCGAACTTTGTTCCGCCTTAATGGCAATAAATAAGCAGACTTTTTTTTATTTCGAACGGGATAAAAAGTATCCTATGTCCTTCGACTGGCTCTAAACTACCTCCCTGACAATTTTCAGCTAAATCGGTACAGCCGTTCTTGAGTTATAAGAATTCTATCGCGTGAAATTCAGTTTGTCACAAATCGTCAATAACACAGTAAATTCTCATCAAAATCCGTTCAGTAGTTTTTGCGTGAGAGAGTAACAAACTTTCGCATTTAGTAGGATTCATATCTAGGTAGACACTATAGCATAACTAATGGAGCACAACTTGGAAAAAACCAATCTCAAAGTCAAGATCAATTTGCCAAAATGTTATCACTTGGCACACCTTTAACTATACATTTGATGGAAATCGAACTCATGCAAAGGAACCATGTCAACGTAACCACTGGTCCTGGACGCCACAGCGTTGCGATTAATCGCAGACACCAGCTTGCGACAAGTCGCAACGAAATTTTCAAAGTTGACCGAGCATTGTTTTGGCGCGCAATTATTTTTAGTTTTAAGATATGTTAAAATACCTTTGTGTATATTGTGTCGGATATGCTTAACTATGTCTCAGGATTTGTATTTTTATATTTGAAACTTCGGTCGTTTGATACAAACGCGTAACTAAACGTTGCGTAGTCACGTATGCTGCACTAAAGATAGAGCTGCAGAAAATGTTCGTAAAAATCTTTGTCGCAGGCGAGATACGTAAGAAATCTAAAAGTATCTCTTATCTTTACAATAATTTATTTACTAACCTAGGTAATATAAGCTCTTGAGAGAAAAATATTATATACTTTTGTTACTCATAAATGGATCAAATGACAAAAGCTTTACTGGCTCTTAAACTCTTAACTCGTGGTACCCCAAGTGGTCGATCGTGATAACAATTGATTTCGAGTCGCTGTTACTTGAAGGGCTACAGTCTGGTAGTTTTTTCAAATGTGGTATTTGGTCGCATCGCTGTGGCGCTCATTTCTCGTGGTGTTAAACTTTTATCAAACGCGACACTGCGATTCCAATTTGGATGTAGGATCTCATAGCATTCTACCACTAATGTGCCTTACTGTAGCGTGGTATAAATTTCGCACGTCGCAAATTTTAGAAGTTAGATTTACAAGCGACAAATCGCTTCGCGACTAAGTCGCATCGCTGTACGCGGAGATAATTAGCTAATTATATTACTTATATGAATTTTATTCGAACTGATCGTAGGCTAAGACGCGGTTCCGATTGCTTCACGTTTCACTCAAAAGTTTATGTATTCAGTTGGAGCAAGTTTTTAAACCAATTTTATGCGTTGTAATATAATATGGAAAATAAAATGTTGGTTGAAGGCT